TGAGCGCCAGAACTCCCTTAGAATGCCTTGTGTTTCCGGGTTTCATAAGCTTTAACAGGGTACAGTCCTTACATAATTTTTCACTTGCTTTAGTGGAAAATATTTGCGTTTTCCTCCTCTGACAAGTTTCCACCCTACAAAGGCTCTGGCTTTTGCAGGCTTTACTGTAAATAGTTTTAGATAAGGTTTAGCAATACCCGATCCCCAAACCCCACTGCTTGAGTTGATTATGACTCATAGCAACCTTTGATAGAGTCCCCAACGCTATAAATCTTTCCAGGAGCAGAGAGCTTCATCTTTAGCCCCAGTGCAGTCATGGGTTTGAACTGCCAACCTTGCACTTAGCAACCCAATGCTTACCCAACAATACCAACAAGGTATTAATAAAAGTTACTTTCCTCTCTTGTCTCTTACTTGAGTTTTAAAGTAACATGTGGCTCCATAACCCCTGGTTCTTATCTTGGCCTATGATAGAAATTCAATGGTGAGACAATGTTATAAACAAGAACCATATATTTATTGGTGAAGAAGGAAAGAGGCTATATATGACAACCACCTAAAAAGACAATAATATGTATCACTCAGAAGAATCACCTAAGAAAATGTTAATTGGTTTTAAGAAGCATTTGAACATTATCAGAGCCAACAAAACTGAAATTTTTCTCTAAGATTTGTTCAACATTCTTTTTTAGCCTGTCACAAAAGAAAAGCCCGTAATGACAAAGTATGTCCTAATCTACTCTGGGGAAATGCTAGGGAAATGCCCACACTTCTATAAGCCTACAGATAGACATCCAAGAGGGAGAGGTCATGAACTCCATAAGGCTAGGGCCATGTCTGGTTTGTTCATCAACACTTGATGTAGTAGGGCCTGGTCCATGAAAGATGCTCAGTAATTATTGAGTGCCTGGATGAATAATTGAACAAATGGGTAAATCACTAAAATTTATAAAGCACATCTGTTTCTCTTGGAAAAAATAACACAAGTGATTACTTTTACTCTCCTCCCAAGGGAGTTAGGGTGCTGGCAGGGGTATAGAGTTTGACTGGATAAAGGTTCTGTTCGATATAGAAGAATGTCTTTTCCAAGTCCCGCACAGGAAGAGAAGCACTAGTCGTGGAACACTGACCTGGCCCGCGAGATACTGAAGCAATACGTCGTACTGACTCCATCTAAGAGATCAATAGAATGACAGATGTTACCGTCTAATTACTCCACTGAATTGTTCTGTCAGGCCCTTCATTTCCATTTTCCACCCATCAATTTAGCCTAAGCTGATTTAGAGATAGAAGAGAGCTTTCAAATGTGTATGGGAAAAATGGAATTGAAAGATAATGGAATTTTTTTCATGAGCTTTTTGAAGCCCTTCATATTTCTTGTACTTCGGGCATTTGTGACTTAGATTTTACCCAAAGGAAACCTTCACTGATGGTTCCATCTCCTCTTGCAAAGGGATTGTGATTCCAGTTATTTAATGCATAGCTGGCAAATCAAGAATAAGTAAAATAAAATTAAAAACAACCACTACCATCGAGTCGATTCCAACTCAGAACAACCCAATATTCAGTTTCCAAGGCTGAACATCTTTCCCCGAGCAAAGAGTTCTCCTCAGGAAGGACCGGTGGATTTGAACCACCAGCTCTGTGGTCCAGTGCTCACCCAACAGTGTGCCTAGGGCTCAAATAACAACATATTTTTGTTCACTTTCTCTGTTTTAATTTTAAAGCATTCAGGAGATTGCTGCTATCACATGCATTTTAAATGTCTGCCTTGGACCCAAGTCTATCATAATTTTGAAACTCAGGAGCATTATTCTTTGGGAAGCATCTTAGATTGTGTATTAATAAATAATGGCCCTTATTTCTCTATGGAATGAGAAAGATTTTCTCCTCCATGTGAACCACTAATACTTAATTCTGGGGGGGGGGAAATGATTCCCAAGTCTCAGAAGTGCATTCAATTTGAAACTCAAACTGTCTTTATTTTTTTTTTCAAACTGTCTTTAAAATCTAAAGTCTTCATTAATAAAGCAGAAAACTGAAGTCCAGATATTCGGACCTGTAAAGAGTGGCATAGCATCTCTCCAGTAATTATGAGCGCTGCCTCCTATCCAGAGACCATTCCACAACAGGTGCTGTCTCCCTGAGAGAATAAATGGACTCAATATCAGGAAGAGGAGGAAGGGCCAACACAGAGATTCTGTAGAAACAGGCAGGAATGTGATCATGAAGTTTTTAGAGACTCATTCTGGGTTAAAGGGGAAGGTGGGTATTTTTAGCTTTCCTTGATTTGGTTCTGACTCATAGCGACCCTGTGTCCAACAGAAGAAAACACCTCCAGGTCCTGCGTCATCCTCACAATTGTTCTTATGTTTGAGCCCATTGTCACAGCCACTGTGTAGATCCATCTCATCA